ATGGGGCGCTTCTGCTCGGGGCCTCCAGTCTGAGCGGCCGCTGCTGGGCCGGCTCCCTCTGGCTTTTTAAGGACCCTTGCGCCGCCCCCAACGAAGGCTTCTGCTCCGCCGGGGTCCAGACGGAGGCCGGAGTGGCCGACCTCACTTGGGTAGGGGACCGAGGCATCCTGGTGGCTTCCGATTCAGGTGAGTCACTTCCCCCCTCATCCCCCCGGGTGAATGAGAGGTGGAGGCGGGGCTGAAAACTCTGGGTAGATGGGGGAGAGCCTTTCCCGAATTCTAAAGAGCCTGAAGGAATCTCCTAGAGAAATCCGTGGCAAAATTAAGAAATGGATGGGAACCATTTTTCTTCTGTGTAACCTACCCCCTCACCCCTGCAGACCAGACCAGAGGTGTTACTGATTTTAAAGATGATGCTGAAGTCAATCGGTGCGACCTGTCTCTTCCTATTTTTTTTTTGCATTTTCTTCATTGCTTTCGTTCTGCTTTCTTTACGTTGGACGTCAGGGTCAGCAATAGAGGCTTTGGCATTTTAGAAAATCCAGAATTTGGAAGTTGGCAGACGTTGCATGGAAGTTTAAAAGCCCTGCTTTTTAAAAGATTGAACCTCTCTGACAGTTGAACTTGAACATTGTATGTTCAAGACAGCCTTCGGTGGGTTTTCTATACTTAGCCAGTCACTGTGCAAGATGTTCAATAATTGAACATAGTTTTTTTTTAAGATTCTGCAAAACATTTATTTAAGTAGTTCAGCAAATACTTATTGGTGGTCAAATAATTAGGAAGATTACTATCACTGGACTGTGTGCTGCTTGGATAATTGTGGAGACTTCATCCTTGTCCCCTAGGAACTGATTTTCCAGTGTTCTGTCACTAGAAACAGAATAGTGGATTTGACAGGCGGTTTTTGCTTTCCCTGTCTTTTTTCTAGAAGTTTTCCCCACCTAATTGTCTGGGTTGTCATTAGGAAAACAGTAGCGAAACAAGAGCAAAAGGCCTGGAAGTTAACTAAACCTCTAATGATGTCGACTTTGGTTTTATGGGAATAACTTCGTTAGTTTAGGGATGATGACTCCTTGAATTCTAGAAGTGAATTACTGTCTTGGAATAATCTGAGCTTATGTTTGCCTTACTCTCCCCCCACCCCACCCCCAATAGGTGCTGTGGAACTGTGGGAGCTGGATGAGAATGAGACACTTATTGTCAGCAAGTTCTGCAAATATGAGCATGACGACATTGTGTCTACAGTCAGCGTCCTGAGCTCTGGCACACAAGCTGTCAGCGGTAGCAAAGACTTCTGGTGGGTCCCTGTTCTTGTTGCTTCTGCCTCTAGGCCTCTTTTGGGTGTCCTCACTGTCCTGTTAACATCATTAAGTAACGTTTGGGCTCGTTATAAGAACCCAGCTACTAATTATTATAAGATGTCTATGAGGTTTCTTTAGAGATTTCACAACCCCTTGTAAGGAGACCAGCCAGAGTCAGGAAGTAAAGACATGAGGCATTTTGGTTAAAGGACGTTCTTGTTTGACCACTTTTATTTGTTTTGAGTTGGGGTCTCACTCTGCCGCCCAGGCTGGAGTGCAGTGGCCTGATTATGGCTCACTGAAGCCTCACCTGGGTTCAGGTGATCCTTCTGCCTCGGCCTTCAGAGTAGCTGGTACTACAGGTGCATGCCAGCATGCCTAGCTATTTAAAAAATTTTTATTTTTGTAGAGACAAGGTCTTGCTGTGTCGCCCAGGCTGGTCTCGAACTCCTGGGCTCAAGCAATCCTGCCACCCAAGCCTCCCTAAGTACTGGTATTACAGAGGGGAGCCACCATGCCCAGCCCGTTTGAACACTTTTTTATGTTGGTCAAGATTAAGTGTGTGATTCCTTTGCTTCTTAGCATCAAGGTTTGGGACCTTGCTCAGCAGATGGTACTGAATTCATACCGAGGTGAGTACTCTTCATCCCTGGCGTTATGTTGTTTTCATTCTCCCCTCTAAACTCTTTGAACTTTGCTTGGATCTTAGGAGCAGCACTTCTATGTTTTCCTGTCTTGTAGTTTTCTTCTAAAACGATAGTTAGTCTCCAAAATCTACCCCTTGTCCTTTTCTCAGTTTCCCTGTTTCTGTTGATGGCTCATCACCTTGTACACAGGGCTCGAATTCTCAGTCTTCATCTACTCCTGCTTCCCCACCATCGGCCAGTCAGCAGGTGCTTTTGAGTCTTTTTCCACATCGTCTGGCCCCTTCCTGTCCATCGCTCATGTCCCATTCACTTTCAGGCTTGGCCTCGCACCAACAGTGGCCCTCACCGCTCCCCTCACCTTTGTCTCTTTTGGTCTTTCGTTTGTTTCTTGTGGCCTGTGAATTAAAATTCCATTTTCTTGTCATGACACTCAGGCCCTTTCATTGTCATTTCTTCTTCAAGCGCATGCCAAGTACTTGACATTCTGCGGGAAGAAGCCCTGAGATTTTCAAATCTTAAACTTTTGATATTCACCTCCGTAAAATGTCAATTTTCTGGTGAGAATCATCACTTTCTTTAATGTTCCTTTTTCCTTTCTGCTTGTTTTCATTGACAGCACTAGCAGTTGACTTTATTTTGGGAGGCATTCTTTGGGAAGATAATGTCTAGAGCCTTAACGTGTGTGTGGCTCTGAGATTTAGATGCTGGGTGATCACCGTGGTTCTCTCATTGGCTAAGCACCTTTCTCTGCCATTTCTAACTTCGGAGTTCATGGTTCAGTTATATGCCAGAAAAAAAATCACAAACTCATGGCCAAGGTCCAGTATCCTGGACCTTCAGGGTCATTGCAAGTAGTTGAACAATAATATTAAAATGCCAGTGCCCCAAGTCTACCATACTTGCCTTTTATTTTTTAGACATCTGATGTGCTGTCCTGGTTAATGCTGACTTTTTCAGCACTTCCCTCATTCAGCCTTTTGCGTTACTTTGTGTTTGTGTTTGATTCTCCCCACTGAATTCCAAATCCTCGGAGGATGGAAGAACCATGCATTCTTCATCTTCTTTTGCTGCCATGGTGCTAGTCCCAGAACTTTGCTTTTTTTCAAGTGGACAATAAATTCTTTTTCTGACTTGTCATTTTTCTGGCTTTCCATGGATCCTAAGGCTAGGAAAGAATTAAGGAAGGTGGTTTAATCCTATTCTGCTTCAGGGCAGGCTCACATTCATACTTCCTTGGAAAGTCTGGTGAAATCACTCGAGAAGGTGATTTCCATAGCCTCTAACACGTAGCAGTGATCTTCAAAGTTTTTTACGTGTAGGCCTCCTAAAACAATTTTGAAAATCTGTATCCCCTCATGCATTTTTAAATTGAGATCTACAAGATTTTGTTTTATTTTATTTTTGAGTTGGAGTTGCCCAGGCTGGAGTGCAGTGGCATGATCATGGCCACCACGGCCTCTACCTGGTGGGCTCAGGTGATCCTTCCACCTCAGCCTTCTAAGTAACTCAAACTACAGGCATGTACCACCACACCCAACTTATTTTTTTATTTATTGTAGAGTTGAGGTCTTGCCAAGTTGCCCAGGCTGGTCTCAGACCCCTGGGCTCAGGTAGTCCTCTCACCTCCGCTTCCCAAAGTGCTGGGATGACAGGCGTGAGCCACTGCACCTGGCTAAGATCTGAACAATTTTAAGTTTATGTAGTTGTAAAGGAGGTACTTTCTGCCATGTCATTTATTATACACTTATTTCAAGCATATGTTTGTCAAAATTTGGGGTTTGCAGATTGTTTGTTTAACTTATGCAAAATGTCAGCCAAATAGCTTAACTGGCAAAAATCAATCTGCATTGTTAAACCAACTGACCAAGTAAGACTTAACTTTCTGTGAGAAAAGTTTGACTTCATCTTTTTTTTTTTGATGTATTATAGAGATGAGGTGTCGCCAAGTTGCCCAGGTGGGTCTCGAACCCGCGGGCTCAGGCAATCCACTCACCTTAGCCTCCCAAAGTGCAGGATTACAGGCTGAGCCACCGAGCCCGGCCACCTTTGTTTTGAGTTGGGTATCACTCTGTTGCCCGAGCTGGCGTGCAGTGGCATGATCATGGCTCACTGCAGCAGCCTTGATCTCCTTGGTTCAGTCAATCCTTCTGCCTCAGCCTCCCTTTCTAGTACCTGGGATTACAAGTGCATGCCACCATGGCCAGCCAATTTTTAATCTTTTGTACAAACTTTGCTAAATTGCATCACGAGGCCAGGACTCATTCTCACACCTCCCTCCTGCCTTGTGACTGTGCCTGGGCTTGCCTTGCAAGACCTCAGCTTCTCTGTCATGTTTCTCCTTTTCCTTTGCAGCTCACGCTGGACAGGTCACCTGTGTTGCTGCATCTCCTCACAAGGACTCTGTGTTTCTTTCATGCAGTGAGGTGAGATATGGCCTCTTCTTCCCTAACCACGCTCCCCCCTCTGTAGACCACAGTCTCTGGTGTGAAGACCTCCTGGCCAGCAGCTGCTCCTTGGGAGAGTGAAGCCCTTTTTCTCTTCCTTCTTCTAGGATAACAGAATTTTACTCTGGGATACCCGCTGTCCTAAGCCAGCATCGCAGATGGGTGAGTCCAAGGGCCAGTGGTGGAAGAGTGGTACTAAGCACAGTTGCCAGATACCCAGTCACTGTGACATAACAATGACATAATTGCGTTCTTTTTCCTTAAGGTTCTGCTAGTCCCATTCTGTCCAGTGATTACCAGGGGGAAGGGCTGGTTCCTAGGTGGGTGAAGTCCTTTGTTAGGTGGGCAGGCAAAGGGGTCGGAGTTGTTCTCTTCATGCCTGTGACTTGTGTCCAGAAAGGGGAGGCTGATGGATCAGTGTAGGTTATGGGGCTCTAGGAGGAGGACACTGCTGCCTTAGCAGGGTTTGGGAAGCCAAATAAAGGTGCTCCTGGGATTCAGAGGGATGTCATTTGAGAAAAAGCTACTTGCGGGCTCTAAGCGTTTTCCAGACCCCTCTTCTCTCCTTTGCAGGCTGCAGTAACTCTGGCTACCTTCCTACCTCACTGGCTTGGCATCCTCAGCAAAGCGGAGTCTTTGTCTTTGGTAAGGCTGCAGGGCAGACCATATCGACTCTGGGAAGGGGAGGGAGAGGAGGAGCTGATTCCGTGGCGCATGAGGCTCTTGCGGCTTGCTCAGTCGCATCAGCACACGTGGGCACCTAGTGGATGGTGCTTGTAGAAGGCAGGATGTGGGTGATTCCAAGGTAACTCTAGTTCAGCTTTGGAGAACATGATCATTTTTTCTCTGGTGGATTTTTTTTTTTGAGTCAGAGTCTCACTTTGTCACCCAGGCTGGAGTACAGTGGCATGCTCATGGCCCACTACAGCCTCCCTCCTGAGTTCAAGCAATCTTGCCTCAGCTTCCCGAGTAGGTGGGACTACAGGCACGCACCACCACACCTGGTTTTTTTGTGGAGATGAGGTCTTGCTATATTGTCTAGCTTGGTCTCAATTCCCGGGCTCAAGCAGTCCTCCCACCTGTGCCTCCCAAAGTATGGGGATTACAGGCGTGAGCCACCATGCCTGGCTGGTGTGGTGCTGTTGTGATGGTATGGTGATAATGTTTGTGGTTAAGATAATAACTACTCGCGGGTTCGAGACCCGCCTGGGCAGCGAGACCTCATCTCTACAATAAATCAAAAAA